TGCAGTGTGGGCAGGGCCTGTGTCTGGCTTGGTGATGGACTGGATGTGGTTCCACTATTCACTGTCAAAGCCCTCATTTTGCTAGAGGTCCTTTCTAGCCTCCTCACTGGCACGAAGCGAGTGGTTAGGTGGGAAGGCCTGTGTGACCAGGTTGCTTTCTTCTCCAGGCTGCATTCTCCAACAGACAACCTGCAAGAGCCTCCACCTGAGGCCAGCAAGGAAATGAGACCCTCAGTGCTATAAAGAGTGGGAAATGAATTCCACCAGCACAAGAATGGACCTGATCATGGACTCTTACAACACTCCATCAAGCACTTTGCTGAGTCACCTTTCCACCTCGGGATTAAGTAACCAACACATACAAGGTAGAGGAGAAATATTCACACTGGATCGTGGATTCTGAGATTTTAGTCCAGGTTTTCCTGGCTCCCAGGCAGAAACAGCGTGGTGGAAGGGCATGGCGGAAGGAAAGCTGCTCACTATGGCAGCCAGGAAACAGAGAGCACGAAGAGCCCAAGAGGACACCCACAACTTAAAGGAGGAGAGGTTTAGTTTGGCTCACAGTTTGTAGAGGTTTAGTCCATAGTCAGTGGGCTCCAAGGCGGGATGGCCTGGCATCACCGAGGAGAAACAGTCTATGGCAGGGCAGGCAAGAAGCAGACAGCGATCAAGGAAAGAGGAAGGGAGATAGACCCTTCCAGGCCACGCCCCCAGGGACCCACTTCCTCGAGCCAGGCTTCATCTCCCAACACCATATTTAGCTACAAGCTCATCGCTGGTGAGTATCATGCCTCCAAAATCCAGTCACCTCCCAAAAGCCCCACCTATCCGTGCACGAGCCTCTGGGAGAGCATCTAGATAGAAACCATGACCACGATCCAATCTCCTCTCTAGAAGTCTTGTTATCCAGGCAGATTGATAATTGCTGTTAACCCTTACACCCTTCCTGGCCAGCACCTTGCCTGTAGGCTTCAGAGAGCCCACCTACCCCATGGCCAGATTCTGACCCACAGAAACAGGGAGGTAGCTAAGATGACTCACAAGCTGGATACGGCAGATTCAGAGGGGAGGATAAATTGAAGATGTATTCCAAACTTAATCTAATTTAGCTTATATGTTTATTATCTGCCATTCTTCACTCAGATGTAGCTCTGTGACAGGAGGGAACTCGGTTTTACTTATACAGGAGTATGGATCTCAAGCCCTTTAAAAACTGTTCTAAGCATCTAGGGTTGGGACATAAATGTTGGTTGAATGACAGTGAAACCCAGCAGCTGGTCCCCTGTTAATACAGACTGGTGAACTGGCTGCTTAGCCACTGCTTCCAAGGCGTAGGCTTCCAGGTCAGATTTTCTAAAGAATACACATATTCACCTTCCCCATGATTTACTGGCTTTGCCTACACACCGTGCTGGTAGCAGTACACAAACAGTAAAATGTCTGGTAACGCTCTTCTAACAAGCTAGACAAATATTTTATTTGGACTGTGTGCATTTGCCAAAAAGTAAAGACAGATGCTTTATACTCCGAATTTCCTCTAAATAGCCAGACTCCTTTTAGTTTTGCGATTGCTAAAGGAGACACCAAAAGCATCATCATTTTGCAGTCTTGATTCACAGTGATTTATGTGGGCCGATGAGCTGGGCATTGGTGACATTGCCAATAAAGTGCAGGTGGCCCGCCTCAACCAGACACCGCAGACTTTAACAGGTATTAACTTCGGAATGGAAGGGTTGGGGAAGCAGAGTTAAATCTTGAAGTAAAGATTTGTTTGAAATCAAGGAGGTTTCAAATGAGTGTCTCTGCAGAGGTCCTGTTGGTGCTCTCTTTGTGTGGAAAACACACCCTCACTTGTGGGCAGGCAGCCTTCTAAAAGCTGGCCCTCAGGTGGAGCAGACCACCTGTTTGACTGTCATGCATCTCAGGGTTAGCCTTCTGAGGTGAAGCCCCGAGAGACAGCAATGCTGCAAAACTACTCAGTTCTCTGGTGTTCAGTGTTTTGGGCAGAGGAAGAGAAATACCATTTCTCTGCAAGAGCTCGCACTTAAGCTGAAGCGAAGCCTCAGTGTCTGTCTTGGAAAATCCCTCCCTTCTTCAGCAGGGTCTGATCCAATCCAAACCCCATACTGTAGGATTTGGCAGCCAAATCCCTCCCGGGGCTGCTAGGCCTTGCAGATTTAGACCCTGCTACCTGTTCCACGGAAGGGTTTGTAGCCAGGAGACCTGGACACTTAATGTTGCTCTTGGTGGAGTGTGCCGCTGACCCTCTTCTCCAGAAGGTAGAAAAACAAACCGGTGAATGCAGCACAGAAACGAGCTGAGGAACATGCATAGTGACAATGTCTAGATCTGGCTTGGAAAGAGTCATCAGTAAAGGACAGGAACTGCAGTCAGAATCTGGTAGCAGTAACTTACATGCGTTTGCTGGAAAACCTCCATCATTCACATTAAATCTTTTAAGTAAAACAAAACTCCACCCTCCAAGGACTTTTAAAGATGGCAGCAACGCTTCGTTACCACGAATTCAGGCCTCTGAACCAGTGCATGGCTCGGTTCATCTAAACCAAGAGACATTTAGAATCTCATCCATCACGGGTCTTGGTTGTCGTCTTAGTTCAGAGTAGGAATTTGGCTGGAGCAGTGAAACTCCGGGCAAAGGATGGCTGTAAAGACCTGCTTGTAAGCTGGGTTTATCTTGCCCTGCTGCTGAGTCTTGATGGAACCCCTGAGATGGTCTAATGCCTGCTGAGGATAACACTCTGCCCAGTGCTGTCAGGCCCATGTCGGAGGTCCCCCACCACGGTGGAGGGCTCACACAGCATCTCCCCTGAGGCCAGATCTGCTGGGGCTGGGGAGCGAGTGACGCTGACTTTGGGGAGAGGCGACCGCGGTTCTCAACGTCACACATTTCTAATGAATGAAGGAATGCTAGGGCGCACCCAGCGCTATTCTGACAAGAGCAGCGAGGAATGGCCCTGCACACACCACGGGAAATTTCCAGCTATGTAAGTGGTCACGGCTTTTTGGGTGCAATGGAATGATGGGAAGATGGCTGTAGCCTATTGTCTGGATTTTCATTTCCGTGAACTGGCCCAAACCAGAAATCCAACTCTTACTGTTTGAAGTGCCCCCTCTCATGACGCAGGGGTCTGTGTGGACCCAGAAGAGGCTGGATGACAGTGACATTTGCAGCTATCTTCAATGACTGCAGTGCCTTCTGGGTGTCAGTTCTCTCGAGAGCAGGTGATTATTTGGGTTATATAAGTGCTCGATTCTTTCTAGTGTTGTCGCCTAGGTTTCCAAGGTGCTCATATTGGTCCCAAGAGCTATCACAATACATTTTCTCCTGTTTCAAAACCTTGTCATATGGGCCAAATATAGCTCAGTGGCGTAAGCCCCTGCCTGGCAAGCACAAGGTCCTGAGTTCAATTCCCAGTACCAAAAAACAAAACAAAACAAAACCTTGTCATACTGCCAGCTGGGACACAGCAGGACAAAACACACAGGGCAATGCACCTGGGCACAGTGGCGGGAGAGCAAAGGTGGCAAATGCTCCTCCTAGGGCCTCATGCTCACCTGGGCAGTTACTTTTCACATTTACATGTCATAAACCTATAGTGCAGCACAGCTGCCTGGTACAAAATTACTTAGGCCCACTCTGACTTTGGTGTGAGTGCTTTATCAGTGCTGATTTGCACACCATGGACATACATAGTAGAGAAATATACACGTCAGCTTCTGTCTTTGCCATGCCACTCTTGGATGAAGAATCCTCTTGCTGCAAGCATTCTCCTTGTTTTCACAAGTTCGTTCTCTTCGTTTGGCCTCACTGGCATTGTTACACCATGGTCCTACTTATTCTATCATAGCTTACTGTGGAGAAGGACATTCTTTAGTTGATTTTTCAATGTATTATCTATTTGGGACTTCGGGCCTGATAAAGCCACATGATTGTTTAATTCTGGAGGAAGTCTAGCAAAGGCATTGGTGGAAAGGAAATGATAGCAGGACCTGTGTCCCTGTGGAGAGCCACGGGGACAGCACTAAATGCTTTGCTGAGATTTGCTGAATGATAACAGGATGGCTAACGAAGTCGTCTCATTCCTGTGATAATTCAGTTGTATTGTCCTCACTAATCCTGTTAATTATTCCTCCCATTTGCCCTGTTGCTGCTTTTTTTTGTATCCCAATAAAAGGCTAAGGAGGATGGTAATCGAGGCTTCAGTCCGAGAGCCTGCAAGCCCCTTGATCCATAACTGTCTCTCTCGTTTTTTTCATCTGTGGGCACCTCGTTCTCGAGATCTGTTACAGTAGACAGAAACGGACTATACACCAACAGCTTATGGTTCCACCAGCACCTCAGATACCCAGCCACACCCATTCACAGGTCCATCGAAGCTCCTCATGCTCCGAAACAGACTGGAGGGCCCAGCGGGTGCGTATGTGACTATTGTTTCCCAGTGCCCGGCATCAAAGGACTCAGTGTGCTGCCCCATGCTGAGGAAGGTGGTTGGAAACACACACCTTAATTAGCCAGGGCAAGAGCAGAAAACACAATAAAATCAAAGGCAAATGCAGTAGTTCAGCACCTTAACTTCTAGACAGGATATTTTGCTAGAGATATTTTCCCCTGCATTCCAATCGAGTAGGGATAGGAGAGAGAAGGGGCGTGGTGCAGGAGGCCCCAGACATCACTGCAAGCAGGGGAGCTGGATGGGGCACACAGACGCTACTGTGCTATTCTGCCTCGGAGACCGAGAGCTTATGTGGGACCCAGAGAGATCTGACAGCAGTTTGTAAGTGCTCCAGAGCTCATCTTACCACACGGAGCTGGAACGCTAAGCTTGGCTGGATGGGAGGCAAATGAAACAGCCAATGAGGGGAGAAGGGAAGGCGGGCCTGCTCACAGGAACCTGGGAAACTCCACAGGGATGTGCACTGGTTTGCAACTCGTAATTGTAACGTTTTATCAGCATGTGTGTTTTTAACAAATGCAAAACTGCATAGTTAACCAGTTTTATTATTATCACTTAGAACATTTAAATAAATGATACACTTCTATAAAATAAAATGTTTCACTGTTATCTGGCGGAAGGCCTGGTCCATCTGGAACTGTCGCCAGTGACCGGCAGCAGCCGCCTTTCTCGCTGCGTCCTGGGTGAGTGAGACTCAGCAGGAAGATGTGGCCACGGCCATCACCACCGTTATTTTCTGTAATTTCCATCCTCCTATAGCCGGTAATCTTCAGGTCTGAAAGACAAACATCAGCATTTATTTCTCATGAACCATTATTTCATTTTCTCCTAGCTGAGGAAGGAAGATTATTTTTCCAACTTAAAAGGAAAAGTAACTCTTCACTGAGAAACCTCTACAAACATTTTATGTAAGTATTTGGTACAAAATACTAAGGCCAAAACATAACAAAATGCAAGTTCCATGAAAATTCCGAAGTCCTTCTGAAGGTGTAAGTATGATCACCTTGTGCTTATAGACACATGCATCTAGTAAGTTAAATTCACCTTCTCTCTTCTAATTTTGAACACTTCATCTCACAGAAAAAAATTACTGTGCTTTTTTAAGTTTAAAATTGATACAAAGTATAGATTGACCTTACAAAGTCAAATTTTCTTTCTTTTTAATTTTGGTTAAAATCTGAACTGAACAAGAACCAAATCAAATTCAATGGTTAGATTTGATGTCGATCTTATGAGGAAACCTGATTCGGTTTCTCGTTCGGTTCAGTTTGTGACCAGAATTGTGGACAGAAGTGATTTGTGAACCCAGGCATGAACGTAATGACATCTAAGAGTCACTTCCCTTAGCAAATTAAAACAAAAATTTCAAGGAAGTGTTAAATAAAATGAAGGAAAGGACCATAACAGACAAAATGAGAATAAAAAATTTTAAATGCAAAATGTTTTAGTGCCTTATTATCTCTCAATAGTATACTGACAGTATCAGGTACTCACTACGGCTATAGCTGTGAAATATTTAATCCTTCGAGTTCCTTTCAAAAGTGATTAAGCTGTCCTGAAATGACTTATCTAGTTCCGTCCACACTTACAGCACGTTTTTTTGCACTGAATACTCACAAGATACCAGACAGCCCAGCTAAGAGCACCCGTCTACTGGCTGAGGAAAAGAACCGCACTGCGACTTTCAGCAGTGTATTGTTAACAGTGGAGCAGGCCCTGGTCCGGGAAGCCAGCCGGATCTGCTGCCCCGGATCTGCCACCAACAACCATGAGAAGAGCAAACGGCGCTGTCGCTGTCCTGAGATCTTCCCAACGTAAAAACCTCAGCGTGGTCTGGGAAACGATGATGTGATGTGGCGTCTGCAGGCGGCTCTGAGCGCAGCCTTTTAACCTTTGCTGCATGACTCCAGTGATCAAAGCGGCTCCTGGGTACAGGACACCAGGGCACTGGAAGAAGTGCTGTGTTCCCTGTCCAGCTGGTTCATGTCACTGTACGGCAGCGGTGGCGGGGCCGCTGGAAAGAAATTGAAGCTAATGTACCGTTTGGCTCTGGGCAATTGAATTTTTACAGGGAAGGCTCCCGCTCCAGGTCAAAGCAAAGTGGGGAGGCTGCCTTTGCGTGGGACCGAGTCCAGCACTGGCCATGAGAGTGAAGGGTGCAGCCACATGTGGACACTGACCTTGAGGAAGCGGGGTGCAGTGGACTGACAACTGCTGGTCAACTTGGAATATCCAGCTGAAATGAACCAGCGTGGTGCTAGGTGTGTGAGGCCCACCTGAGAGTTGTTGCTGCGTAAGAGGCAGAATAGAGGGGAAGAAGCTGTAGGTTCTCCTGAGGACCTTGTCATGCTGGCTTTGCTGATGAACTTGGCTGCTCTCACGGCCAATGGAGCTCCGGACCTTACTGACACTGAGAATAGCTCCGGTTCACTTTAGAGGAGCTCTGGTTCTCACTTTGAGCATTGCTTTCCAGCTCCGGAGGGAAAGATGGTGCACTGCTCAGTCTTCTGGAGAAGCTTGTTGCACTGTCTTTCCTGATGGGAGCTCGGCTTTCCCCATCGTAGAGGAGCTCCGGACCTCACTGTTCGTGAGGATGGCTGTGGTAGTTTTTGGGAGAGCTCTGGTTCATACTTTGAGTGTCGCTTTCTGGCTCTAGTGCAGATCCCTCAGCCTGCTAGCACAGATCCCTCATCCCGCTGGCACAGACTTCCTAGCTTCCACCACTGACCTCTGGGCCTTCCCAGCACAGATCCGTGAAACAGGCCTGCATGAGATACTGTCATGGGCTCTTGGCCACCAGCTGGACTCATGCAGGGCGTTGTTATGAACTCTAGGTCTTCAGTTAGACCATTCAGGGTATTATCATGGGATCCAGGCCCTCAGCTGGATTCTTTGGTCTTTAGTGTGTGGGCAGATGTCCTGCCCTCTTTGTATATGACTCTTTGGGTGGTTGTTATAAAACAATCTTATAAATTATGTATCCTGTATTACACTCTTCCCCTTGCAAAACCCCAAACCACCACAGGGGACTAAGGAAGCCCACCTGTGTCTAGAGAAGAAAGCCTTCTGGAGGAAGGGACGAGCTGGAGGCCGAGGGCTGTCAGAGCCGCTAAGTGATGTGCAGCAGCCAGGGCAGACGGTCTGGAGGATGAGCGAGGCCAGGGCTCCCGAAGACGCCCATGCACTGACTGCTGGGATCCAGGGCCAGGCTGCACTGTGCATCACGCCGGAAACAGAGGACCGAGCTGGTGCGTCATGTGTGAGGGAACGGGAGGCAGCTGGAGCTCCGTGGAGACCTCGGCACAGCTCCGCTCATATCCCGATCAGGACCGCGCAGCAGCCCCTCGGCTCCAGTGAAGTGCAGACACTCCAGGGTGCACCCCAGGACTCCCTGACGGCCCAGCTCACCCTTCTGCATCTCAGCCCCTCCAGCCGTTTGCTGCTCCTCCACGGCCCGGGCTTGGGCTCTGCAGCTTCCTCTGTGGGGATATGTCTGTCTTCTCCCGCCTGGCCAGCCCGACTCCTCCTTCACAATGCAACCCAGTGGCCGTGTCTCCTGGCGAGCTCCTCACGATGTCCCTTCCTCGGGACGGCCCGCGACTCCGTCCCACACCCCCAGCTGCACCTCCCATTGCCCTGGCTCTGCCTTGTGAACAGCACGCGTTGGGAGTTTTCTCAGGTGCCACAAAGCACCGCAACGGCTCTGTGAATCACGCTACCTTATCCTCGGGGCCGCTTTCTGAGAAAGCCACTGCGACTGACCCCGTCTTACAATGCCAAAGCTGGGGCTGCGAGTGCCCTGTGGCTGGTACTGGATGCGTAAAGGAGGAGTGGCGGGGATCCCCCTGGCCACAGTGCTTGCGGGCACCACCTCACCCCACTGGACACCCGTCGCCCACCAGGTCCCCCGATGGCCGAGTCCCGCAGCCAGCACGGCCCGACACACAGCAGACGCTGGCCAGGTGTCCTGTTGGTGTGGGGAGGGCCCTGACCATGCCACCGCGCACAAACTCATCCTCCCCTCCTGCTGCGCCGACAAAACCAGGATCCTCTTCAGATCCAGGCCGGGGCGCTGTGGGCCACAGGACTTGAGCTAGAAACCGCCTGTCCTACTGGAGGCAGTAAGGGACGCCCCTCTTCCCCTGGCCAGCACATTCATGGCTCTTCCCACCCCTCCATCGGAGAGGAACCTGCGATAACACAGGGAGGGCAGGAGGCGCTATCTGCTCTGGCGCTGCCTAAACCCAGAGGGGAGGGCCGGGGACATAGCTCAGAGGCGTAAGTGCCTGTCTGGCAAGCGCAAGGTCCTGAGTTCGATTCCCGGTACAAAAAAAAAAAAAAAGCCCAGCTGGGCACAAAAATCGCTGGACTCTGGCGGAAGCCAATTGTGAGTGCACTCAGGCCTCGCTGCTTCGCAGGATCGGCCCCGACCTGACACGGCTCTCACGGGGCAGAGGCGGCGGCGATCAGTGGAGGCCACACCAGCAGCGGGCAGCACGCTTCCTCCTGCCAGTGGCGGCTCCCACGCTACAGGGTTGCCCTCCTGGCTCCTTAGCGACCCGAAGGTGCTACTGACGGGCTGTTGCTGCTTTTCTGATACAGTAACACCTGTTAGCAACAGGGCTCAATACTGAAATTCCTTTAGAGTTTATCATCAAAGAGCTACACTGCAGCTTTCCCAACATGTGCGTGTCACCATATTTAGGTTCTTTAAAAGGTGCTGGCCCATTTATGGCAACACTGCCCTGACCACAGTTGATCTCTGATTACGCAGCTCACACCTCTCCTCTTTGTGCTGAGATCGCCTAACCTAGACATGAGGTTAACAGACCCTCAAGGCCAGGTGCTGGGCTCAGAGCAGCTCTCTGCTCTCTGCGGATGCTTCCATGAGCCCGCTGGCTGAGCTTCCCGCCCGGGACCACAAGCGGATTCATGTTCTTCATCTGCCCTCTTTGTTCCAATGGAAGTAGCAAATTACACAGTTTTAACATAAAATATATGAATTTAATATATTTGTAAATAGTAACAGTACTCTAAAGTAATCTGTAGAATCTTTGGATATTTCAAATGCTCTTACAGAAAGCTAAAAACCATCAACTTTTATGCTGTTTGATGGAAACTACAGATATTTGCTTTTTGATAGAAGTATAAGTTGACTGTATTTAAACACAATTAACCTCGATCTTTCCTCAGACACGTAATACAACGTATCCAAAATTAGGTACAGTTGAATTTAGAACACAGACTGTTAAGAAGAAAAGTTTCTACTTTGGCTACAGTTATTAAGGAAGCTTTAGGTACCAAAGAGCAAAGTATGGATATGAACCACACTTTATGAATTGAAAGCTAATTTCTTTTACAGAGGGTATGATTTCATGCATGCATCCATTCATGCAACACACATTTGGGCAGGTGTGTTGCTCCTACTGCAGCTGATGGGAACAGAGTAGCAGGTGGGAGGAGAAGAACGCATTTGCTAGCAGAGGGATGTTTTATAGCCGTGTAACATACATGACATATAATATATAGCACAGCTATAACATGCCAGAGATTTCTTTATACATATATATTTTTGACCTTTGAGAGAGGTAGTGGTTTTAAGCTTTCACATGTGTACTTAGGATATACTTGGGAGATTAATGAATCTTCCGGGAATCAGCTAACCTAAGATTCTTACTCCATCCTCTAGACTGTGGTACTTTTCATACCCAGCACGTGTTCTGCAGCAGCGACCTGTCTGACAAGTAAGAGTCACATAGGCAGGAAACTGCCCTT